GTTTATTCTGTCAGAACATGCATCACAAAAGAAACCTTAAAAACTAGATGAAAATCAGTTGACAGTACAACTTTATTTAATTGCAATTCTTAATGTATCTATGTAGAGAGTTTATATAACCCAAGTTACTGACTGGAAGCAGATTAGACTCCCGTGCTGTATGCAACACACCACCTTAACCACAAGAGGCCATTAGAGATTAGTTGGACAGCATGGATGTTTCTCTTTCTTTCTTTCTTACCTGGATATATTGTTGTCTACTTTCTTCTTGTTGAGTCCTACTTTGGCCTGAATGTTCCTCACGGAGCCGTACGAACTTGCTGCTCGTTGCTTTGTTCCCGCTCTAACAGAGGAATCGTGAATAAGAATAAAAGAGAAGAGAGGCAGGGAAGTTTGAAATGCAAACCAAGCAGGATGTTGTCAAATTTTACAGAGCTTTCAGGATGATGTATTGTAAATATCACGAAAAGTTCATATCAACACAAAAAAGTGAACATATTTAATATAAAATACAGAATAAACAGCATAAGGATGCAATGTTATTTTAAAATCATGAGGTATTTTTACTTCTGAGCTACAGTGATTTAAAGAAAGACACACAACAAAAATAATGTAGGTTGTAAGCACAGGTACAAATGTACACTGACCCTGATGGAGGGCTTGTGATGCCAGTGGGATTTGTCTTCACCAAACCTGCAGAGGAGACCTTACCAGCAGGGATTCCTACAGAGGAGGTGGGAGACAATAGTGACAGAGCAAAACACATTGTGAATTAACATCAACCTATCAAAGCAATCGGATGTGAAATAGTTGCTAATCGGGTCAGTGTGTCCAGTGTCCGAGTTCCAGCTTTCAAATGATAGACGGGTCCGGGTCAGGTTTGGGTACAAGATTTTCAGGGCTTTTTGGTTTCAAGCACCAATTTCTGGACCCGTGAAGAACTCCAGAGTGTAATACAGAGTCTGGCTAATGAAAAAACATGACCACTCTTACCAGTGGGCTGTCCAAGAGCTGATCTCTGGGGTAAACGAGTAGAGGCTGAGGGGATGGTTGATGTAGAGTTGGTCTTCTTTACAGGAGTTGGAGGCTTGTACTGAAGACAGAAGAGGCAACGCTGAATAAATACGTTCACTATACAAAGCATCAATGTAGTCACACTCCCTGAAGACGCGGAAATAATACACTTCATAGATACATAATACATAATTCCACAGCAGCACAATGCAACTGACAGACTGCTCAATGTCTAAGCAACTCACGATAATGAGAAAAGCAGATGTCTTGACCAAAGTCATTAGGTCCCTGCTGTTTATAGGCGGCCTGTCCTGCATCATAACAGTTGCTAAGTATCAAGGGCTTGTTATGGATAAATAGTGGTCTCATGTGGTGGCAGGAAAATTTGAAGAATTTCCTTCTCAAATGGGAAAATTCACACAACTGCCACTAATGTTGGATTAGATCGAGATGGACCAGCAGAGACACATGGGCAGTATTTCTGTGTGCACACACAACTGCCACTGCTGCGTGTGTGATTACCTGTGTACGGCCAGGAGTCTTCTTGGCCTCTCCTAGCTTGCTCTTGTTGGGATTACAGGCAGCCTTTTCCTGGCAGAACTTGATGTGTCTGTCGGCCGCACCCTCGTTGAACCTCCGCTGACAGTAAGGGCATTGAACGTAGTCTGTGGAAGGTGAGAAAATACACCAGTGACAGCACCTACTATAAATCATCTGCTATAAACATGAATTGGTTTTCATTTGCAAGTGTAAACTCTAAAAATGGTACAATTCCCTCATTTCCAGGCAATTTGTAATT